GCCTTGCCCAACACAAGTTATAAATTTGAGCACCACCGGGAATTGAACCCGGGACCCCAGGCTTACAAGGCTAGTGTTCTGACCGCTAGACCACCGTGGCGGTTATTTGAACTTTATAACAATTAATTATTTTAATTTAATAATCCCATTTATTAATTACAATTCATACTGTAAGTTATATATAACAAAATATTGCAAATATTAATGAACAAATGGCAAAAAGTAGCTTTATTTAGAATGTGTTTTACACCTTTCTTAATATTTATTATGTGCAGGGGCATAATGTGGAAGTATACACAGTACAGAGCACATATAAATCTTTCTGGAAATGGAAAGTATACACATTTCATAGTGGATATAAATCAGAGAACACACATATGAAGACGTGGATAAACAACTTCATTTGTGCCCAACTAGCATGTTTTCAAGATGATAACCACTTTGTACATACAGAACATACATCTCAATATTAAGGAACATAACAGAGAATCACAAAGGAAAACAAAGATAAGTACATGTTTCAAGATCCAAGACTGATGGATGAGCAACTGTTAATACAATGGAAATGAAAACTGATAACTGAACATCAAGTTAAACATTAGGAAGAACCATAATTAGGTTTAAGCCATGAATGATTGTATATATGCCAACAATTCTTAGACATTACACCTCTGCTTACATATGATATACAAAATCTGCATGTTCTACAGCATGCACAAAACTATAGGTAAAATATTATAAGTCCAAAACTACATGGATATATGTTCTGCAGTTTGCTTTAATGTGTACATTGAGTTAGAAATTCAACATATGTTAATGTAAAATTCTTAAAACTTTTAATCACCTTAAATTAAAACATTTTCATCATTATGTAAATTCAACATGCTTGAAAACAGAGACTTAAAACAAAACATGGTGTATAAACAGAAACAGTACAATATTATAGCATATATAGCTTATAATATTCCATGTCAGTAAATACGTATATACAGCTAATAACACATAAAAGTGCTGAGCCCTCACAAAATCATCACAAGAATCCAACAAAATGAGAATAAAATTTTGGATACCAAGGAATTTTTTTTTATTACAAAATCATACTGACTGTGCACAAAACCCTATTACATTCTGTTTTTATATTTATAAATCTATCAAAACAAGAACTTTGGCAGACTATATGACAAAGATCCTGGACTGTCATATCATTGATACCAATTTAATAAAACATATTTTCAAAAACTAATACAGAATATCAACAGAAACTTAACTCGTATTCAAAGCAATTGGTCATTTAGCAGGTAAATCCGTTTATGTTTAATCTATGCAAAATGCTTCATTTAGAGGGAATTTTTAGAATGCTCTGCAAAATTCTAACTATTCAATTATCTTGGAACACTTTGTGTAAATATCTGTGTAGAGTTTGAGACTAACTGTTTTCCATTACACTTTAAAGTCCACATAAAATACAACCAATGCAGTTAATAAAAATGTTACAAAACAATGTCATTATCAGGATCACAAATTATGAACAACTGCTCTGTCCTTGTTACAAGGATTCTGTTTCTTCTATCCTGTGTCGGTAAAGTAAAGTAAAGCTGTCCCACTATGTGCCATGTAGGCACATGGGGGGAGAGAAGGTACAGCTTCTATTCATTCTTGACCTCGGCACCAGAAGGGGTTGAGTGGTCAGCATCACGCCCTGGTCGCGCCTTACCCCCAGGAAAGGACCTCAGTACTCATTGGATAAGAGGCTGGGAGGCCCCCAGAGCCAGTCTGGACGCAGAGGCTAGAGGAAAGATCCTCTGCCCCGCCAGGGATCGAACCCCGGTTGTTCAGTCCGTAGCCGGTCACTATACTGACTAAGCTACACCGGCTCATATTCTGTGTCGGTTCTCCTTGGAATCTTCAGCCCCTCAATTTAGTCAAACATAAGCACCAATATTCAAGCGAAACTGAATAAGTGTGTTCTTCCTTAAGAAAACATGAAAGGTTCAACAAATATTGCTATTATTCTACATTACTAATAATTCTCTAAATCACTGAATGAACTGTAAAAAAACAGCTATAAAGAAGTTAAACAAATGTAAAGTTATCTGCTTAGGTTATGCAAGTCTGCTCATTGTTTTAATGAGTAAGCATTAACTAACTAACTAACTAGATGGATCACGGAACCCATAGGTTCATCACCGAACTCACCAATGCCCTCCACAGGACCCTGTCCTGGGCCAACAAAATCCAGTCGCCTTCAACTCCTATCTCCCATAGATCCTGCTTGAGATTATCCTCCCATCTACGTCTAGGTCTCCCCAGCGGTCTCTTCCCCTCAGGCTTCCCAACCAATACCCGGTGCACACCTCTTGTCCCATCCATGCGCGCTACATGTCCTGCCCATCTTGTTCTTCTCGACTTAATCACCCTGACAATATTGGTGAGGAGTACAGATTTTTAAGCTCGAGTAAGCATTAACTATTTGAAAATAGAACTGATGTGGTATTTTATGAAGAAATATTTATCCAATTCAGTAAATTTCTGAAACATTTCAAACATAAGACTACTATGGTGAAAAAATATACACAGTTAATAACAGAAAAGTATTACTAGATATTTATGTTTGAGCAGATTACAGTTTCCCTTTGTAAAGATGTTAAAGCCCCACAAAACTAATAATATTTTTATTTATGTCTCATCCAGGTAACTGTAAAGTTTACCCAACAACTTTTCAGAAACTTCCACATACTCTAAATTTTGGGCTCTTGTGCAGTGAAGGAACTAACTATATGAAATGTAATGCAATAATGTTAATGAGTACTGAATTTCTGGGACAAGATAAGGCATACAGAAGATAATATGAGTACTTAGAAGTTCATCTCTGACCATATTGGTGTTGAAACTTGGGTAGTAACTACGGTTCCACAGGAAATGCGCTGTAGCACAGGCACTAAAAAACCGTCATCTGAACTATTTTCTAACAACAGACGCACTTGAAACACTGTGTCAACAATATTTTGGAACTATTCTTTGAAATATTAACCAAGGGTTGTATGTATATACAGCAAGAAATTAAATAAGCAAACACTATAAAAATCAGTGACAGCGTCTAAAGAATGAATACTTAATAGACAACAAAGGTTGTCATGTTCTTCATACATGAATGAATGTATGTGGTTTCTTTTCTTAGGAAAAGTGACAAAAATTTACAGAAACAAGTGAGTCTATTTCTATGACTCAAATATTAAATCAGGAAATTATTTTAACAGAATATCTTATGTCAATAAGAAGTGTGTTAAAAGTATTGTAGGATCCCTCTAAGAGCAACTGCTATAAAACCACAATGATTACTAAGACTTTACAGAAAACATTTGTAAACTGGACTATCTTCAGTTTCTGCATTAGAGTGCACTTCCTACATGCATGACAACATTTGTAGCAGCTGGTATTTCCAAAGCTACAGCATGAAAAGAAACCCACAGCCTTTGCGATGAACCACTTTGTAGTTTTAAAAATGCTCTGGTGCTCCATAAGCCTTAAAAATTCTTAACAATTTCTTCCGTCCATATAACGACTGACCTGTAAACATTTTCTTCCCATATGGTTATAGATGACAATGCATTCACTTTCTTATATTGCTATTTATACTTGATGCATGTCATTTACATTAAAATTAACATTAAATGATGTCCTGCTTTTGTGCCCCATCTTTAATATATACACAAGTATCTATTCACATATAAAACCTTGTGAAAAACCACAATGAGTCAGATGCAAATAATGTGCCAAAAAAGGAAATTCCTATAAAATTACAGCTATATCATATAATTGTCAACTATACAAGACAATAGTTGTCATTGTTTCTCCATTACCACCAATTTATTGTCTAAATACATAAATTATATACTTAGTCTATTTGTAATATTCTTTTAAACTGCCATTTGTTTTACATAACATTTTAAGGTGTAAGCTCTTATCTGCTTGGGAAAATCTTAAAATACAATGAAAAACAAATCATCTGCTTTCAACACACATCACCACTATTTTGTGCAATATGCCTGAACTTGCAGAAATAGTATGGTACAGAAATTTGGCTATGTTTAGATCAGTGAAATTATACATTTTCTATTCAATATTTTATAGGTTCAAAATTAACTT